TCAGGGGAGAAGAGATGGGAGTTACCAGTGCCAAGATAGCATAATCATCTCCACAGAGAAAGTCAGATGGTAATTTCTAAACTCTGAAACTGAAAAAACAAGAATAGTTGAGGCAAGTTATTTAGACATAAGGATTTAAAAAAATAGGAAAAGAAACAGCAAATATCCAGAATGTGTCTTGGGAGAGTAAAAATAGCCTGGCAGGAATGAGGTAGGGCAAGGGGCCGATGTTCTCACTCTAATCACTAAATTCAGCGGTTTAGACTAGGATATGAAATGTTTTCAAAAAAGCATATCCAGGGCAAACTCAGTAGTGTTTTAGGAATCCTGCCATTCCTTTAAGCCTGTGACCTGCACACCTCGAGCACCTACGTGCTAAGGGCCAGGCCCCATTCTGAACATTGAGGATACAGCACTGAGCATCAGAGGTGAGCCCTTTTGGAGCTCGAGTGGTGTGGACACAGATGATAAGCCAGTAAGCTAGTAAAATCTTATCACATTAGATGGTGGGAAGCACCATGGAGAACAGAAGCAAAGGGGGTTGGGTGGTAGGGGTGTGGGTTTCGATGGCATGGCTAGAAAAGGCCGCTGATTTGGACCAGATGGCTTTGAGCAGACTTGGTTGTCAGAGCGAGCCACAGGCTATCCAGGGAAAAGCACTGGGGCTGGTTAGGGCTTCCAGGTTAAATGCAGGTGTAGGAAGGGGCTTCGATACAGGCAACCCCCAGGGTTAGAAAATACTCTGCAAAACCACAGGTTAGTGATAGGTTAAGCTATGCAGTAGTCGACAGTCTTGCACAACTCTCACAACCCCATAAACCAGAGGGTTTAGTAACTGCCTTAGAAAATGAAGCCTCCACATTGCTCTTGGGATGCTAAAATCAGCTGCTCTCACATTCACACCCAGCCTTCCTCTTCTGTAGCGCAGAGTGGAACAGTTTTCACATTACTTAACCAGTTTTCAAAAGCTTAGTCACTTTTGCTTTTAATAGATGCGGGCAGGTGGTATTTACCATCCTGCTGGTATGATTGCAGTCACCAAGGGTAGCGACACCCAGCCTGTGTTCCACCTGACAAAACCCATCCATGTAGATTGCTGACTCGATAGAGGACACTTCGGAAGGGTGGAATGCTAGGAAAGTGATGGGGAGAAACACGGACTGCAGCCCTCCAAGGGGCGTTTACTTAGCTTCCAGTGTTTTACTTGCCATCTGTTGATACGCATTATTCCACCTCAGGGTGGTCAGAAGAGGTGTTTGTGTGTAGCAATCTTCCTCCTTTCACTTGCCAATCCCCTCACCCCCAAGGCTGACCATCAGTTTGGCTATTTGACCTAAAGGAGAAATTAGCAGTTCCTGAGGGAAAACATCTAAATTAATGTCCTTAAGAAAAAGGAAAGGGGGGGCGCCTGGGTGGCTCAGTGGGTTGAGCCTCTCCTTTGGCTCGGGTCATGATCCCGAGGGAACCTGCTTCCCCCTCTCTGCCTGCTCGTGATCTCTTGTCAGATAAATAAATAAAATCTTAAAAAAAATAAAATTGACTTAATGTTAAAAAAAAAAAAAAAGAAAAAGGAAAGGGGCCCCTGGGTGGCTCAGTCATTAAGCATCCGCCTTCTGCTCGTCATGATCCCTGGGATGGAGCCCGACAAAGGGCACCCTGTTCTGGAGGAAGCCTGTTTCTCCCTCTCCCACTCTCCCTGCTGTGTTCCCTCTATCACTGTCAAGTAAATAAAACCTTAAGGGGGGGGGGAGCACATACATAGCTGTTTTGAATACTTGTCCTCAAAACAACTTTCTCTATTTACCAGCTCTCTACCACTTGGTAGAAGGATTTTACTGTCCTATGCTCTAGGTGAGGTCATGTGCAAGTAGCAAAATAAACTAGAACTTACCTGCCGTCTTTACATAAGAAAATCACCAAGTACGAAACTAGACTTCCAGCATCAAACTGTTAGAAACTCAGGACTGGACATCTAGTAACCCTACAGTACAACAGTGCTCTTGCACTCTTGGCTAACCAACTGTGGTCTGTGTCCTCCCCCCACAGAGGAACCCTCTCATGAGTCACCTGATGCCTGAAGTTTCATTTCTTCACCTCAAACTGTGATGCATTCATGCAAAAGCACTCTGGAAGGTATTCCCCCATCCCCATGCTTCCTGCTTCTCCGCTAGCTGGTACTGAGTGTATATGAACAAAGGGAGATGCCAAGTGTATCCTGGAGGTGGAGGAGAGTCATCAGTAATTGAAGGAAACCTCACTGAACAAGTCATTACTTTGAAAAGACTCTTCCCCTAGGCTCATAGCTGACATTTTCCTACTGAATTGTATGGACTCCTGTTCAAACCACAACCACTCAGAAGTTCTCATGGTCCAGTGTGGGGAGGAATCTTGTATGCCAGTTACCAAGCTGTTAGAGGAAACTATGTGTAATACTACAAATCCACAATCTACATGCTCTCAGAAAGTGTATTAGAATGTTCCAGTAGTTAAAAACATGCCCAATAGTAAACAAACAAACAAACAAACAAAAAACCTGCTTTGGACTGCCAACAACTAATCAACATTATGATCAGACACCCCATTGCTGCACTAAGGGATGGACTTGGAGGAATTCAGTGGGATAAACAGAAACTACCATCCTTATGATTTTTAACTTTATCTGCAAACTCCCCACAGTAGAAAAATCTGTATGTAACTTTCTACTCCCCACTTCAATAGCCACTGTTGACCAGAAGCCTCTCGGACAGCAGATTAACACATACTTTGTATGTTGTATATTGTAGTCTTACAATAAAGCTAAAGAAATATTGTAAAATATACTTAGAGTACTGTAAAAAAAAAATTCCATGTTTAAACTTTAGTTCAAAGCCACGATGTTCAGGGATCAACTGGACTGACATTTCACAGGCAGTATGCTGCCTATAGCTCTTCCTTTGAGCCCATCTCAGTCAGGCTTTCTTCCCTTGCTATTCACACACACACACTTGTCAAGTTCGCCTTCTTGGTCCTCATCTTGGCTAGTTTGCAACAGGTAGCCCTGAAACACTGTCCACTTGACTTCCAGACCACTCCTGCGATCTTCCTACTTCAGGGACAGCTCCTCTGAATCACTTTGCCAGTTCATTATGCTGACTATCCCAAGCTCTAGATCACAGGGCTGTCTGTCCTTTTTAGGTGATCCTACCCAGTGTTTTGGCTTCAATGTCATGCACTGAGATTTTCCCAGTCTTTAAAATCTTTAGACCTCTCCTCCCAAGTAAAATAGTCAACTGCTCACCTAGTTCATTAGGTCAGATCATGTCACCCTTCTGCTCAAAACCCTTTTATGGCCTTCCTGCAGGCCTTGGTTTCTGCTTTTCCTAGATTTTCTCTTCTATGCCTTAACCCTTTGTCATTTAGGGTCCAGCAAACCAGCCACCTTGTCCCCAGAACATGCCAACACACTCCACTTCAGACTCTGCGTTTGCTCTTCTTTGCCTGAACTGTTCTGCCCCCAGATACCCATACAGCCTATTTATTTGCTTTCCCACTCAAATCACATTTTAAAGGCTTTCCCAGACAACCCCATCAAAGTCCTTTTACAATTTTTCTCCAAACTCATTTAACAAAGCCTAGGGCTTTAAGGGCACTAGGAACAAACTTTTCTCAAGCTCAGCACTGACAAGGACATAAAATGGCATGCCCACAAAGTACACATCACCTGTTACTCTTGCACAAAGTATCTTAACCAGACTCTTAACTGGGAATAACTAGGAGGACTGAAAATAAGCATTCCTAGGCTGGACTGACCTGGACTCTTCACTTCCTACAAAGCCTCTGCGTCTCCTTTTCCACAGCTAGCTCACTGAATCAGGTTTCAGCCTAGATGATACAAGACCTCGCACACAATCAGGTGGTCACGTTCATAGCACTGACCACTGCCCAAAAACTTTCCCCACTAATGTTTCAGAGGGCCAAGTGGCCTGGATCAGTAGCTGGAGCTTTTCTATCGTAGTGTCAGATCAGGATGCTTAAAGTTGCCACCAGCTTTAGGACTGGTTTCCAGTATTTGGGTTTGCTTCCAATCATCACCAGGGGGCACTATCAACCTTAATGTGTCTCAGGTTCTGAACCATTGTGAACTCTGAAACCTCCGGGGCAAATTCCAGACGGCTAAGTCACTGGATTCGCCCTGGGTTCAAGCGTCATAGGACCAGATGACTCACTGGCTTGCATTTACTTTTAACCCTTAGGTTTTTAAAAGTAAAATTAATCAAAAGGCAAGGGTCTGGGAAATTCTTTTCCAACACTTTCCATAACTCCAATTTTCGACACTTTGGAGTAAACCAGATCTTCATTGTTGACAAGGTTTACTTGAGTTGCAGAAATTTCCCTCATTTTAGCCTGTACTCCCCCATTCAATCTTGACTGCCACAACGAGACAGACAGAAAGCGCGAGGATTTTTTTCTTGCATCTCTAGTGGAAACCTTAGCAGCAGACAGGAACTGCTCCAGGTCTGTCAAATGGATGCATTTTCCTTATTCTTCAACACCCACAACCCTTTTCCATACAATAGTACACAACAGCAGCATTTTCCTCAGCCCACCGGCGAGCTCACATTCCAACCAGAACTTCACCTTTTAAAGCAGGGGCTGGCAAACCTTTCTTGTGAGGGGTCACATGGTTGTTTTAGGATTTGTTAGGTCTTAGGATCTCAGGATCTCTGTCACACTCTGCTCTTAACAGTTAAGAGCCAGTCAATACACAAAACACATGAGCATGGCAGTGTTCAATAAACCTGGACACAAATTTAGGTTTCGTCTTTTTCACATCCCACCACCTATTTTCTTCCAACCATTTAAAAATCTAAGTACCAGCTTAAAGTCACAAAAATAGGTGGCAGGACCAACCAGTTTGCCAACCCCATTCCAGGGAGTTTGACATAAGCACTCCAGGAGACGTCTAGGTTTCTCTAGAACTTGGCTCTACTTGACTTATGATAAATAAGATCACACAATACTTTGCTTCCAAACTGTTATTAGTCTCTTTTTATTCTTTTGGTGATCTCCTCCAGAGTTAACTACTTCCGTTTGTAGGTGATGAAATGTGTAAGGAATCCACTTCAGAATGTTGGCCCAGCTATGAGCATGGTCTTTCCCTTTACTGGAACTCAGAATTAAGACTTTGGGTTCTTGTTTTTTATATTCCAGTCCCAGAAGTAGTTCTCACTGTAGAAGTTATCTGCAGGCAGTCTTATGCTTTCTAGCAGTAGTCTACAACCAGGCTCTAGCTTCTCCAGGACACTACACAGGATGGATTTAAATAGGAGTTAAACTAAGAGGCATTCTCTCAAATGAGTTTAAATGCATTTTATTTTTAGACAACCTACATGACATGTTTTTCTCTTAAAAACAATGCCTCTGCTCCAAATAAATCAGGGTCAAAATAAATGAAGAGCTCAAGATGACATCAGTCCCATCTGTCTAAGTCCTGGTGTTGTGTGGATGAAGAGCAGCAGCCAGTTACGACAACAGGTGATACGTCCAAAGTAATGGCCAGATGCATTACTATAAAAAAAACAAGAAAGGTTGTATTAACACATTTACCCAGTATGAATATATTTAACATTTCTACGCTGCAGATGTATTCCCCTATTCAATCTGGGCTGCCACAGAAGACAGACAGAAAGCGCAGGGATTTTTTTCTCTCGCATCCTAGTGCAAACCAAAAGAACAACAGCCAATTGTTCAAGGTCTATCAGTGGATGCACAACCATCCTTACCAACACGGGTAGCAGTTTTCTAGAAATCTCATTCTGCAGCAAGTCCCACTCACTTTTTGTTCGACCAAGAAAAACCACAGATATTCCTGGAATAATCGCCGTAACAAATGATCTGTACCATCCTAAGACATTTCTGACCACTGTTGTCCCTAATCTTACTTAGTGTAGCCTAAAGTTGATCTTATTGCTAATTTATATGGAAGCCTCTGAATGCTGGGATAATGAATGCTTTCATTCCTGTATTGCCTCCAATAATTCCTTGCATAGTAGACATTCATTTAATTTTACTAAAGGATTGGGCATATTGGGTAAGCAGCCAGCTCTAACTTTATTTACTAAAAGCTGGTAACATCAAGGCTTTCAATGACCAAAGTGAAAAAGATTTCAGGCACACACATGCCACTCATGCATGCATGGCAGCATATGAAGAGAAGGGCCATTTCCAAGGGGGAAGATCAAACAGGGTGTTGTTTCTGATCTTCAGCTTACAGATTTGAGCCAGCTACAAGAAAGGCTTTCTGTAAATAAAAATTCTAAGTTCCTGTGTTGTAAAAACCTTTTACATGTGAAACACAACCCTATTAGACTCCCAAAAGAAACAAGAGCTAGACCTACATTTTACAAAGACTGCTAGAAAACCCATTCTAACTATCCCAGGGGCAGGGAACAAGGGCTCTCACCAAAAAGGTCTCCATTTTTACATCACTGCTTTCAACCCACATCCTTATACTTACACATTTCTCCATCTCTAAACCATCCTTAAAGAAAATCATATATGGGGTCACACCATCCTCACGGTAGTCCAGCAGAGCAACCATGCCATCTGGATTCATGTTTTCACCAATAAAGAACTTAGGAAGCAAACAACAAATACCCAGAATTAGACCATTATATACAAATCGTATCAAAACAAACTACAATAAAACAATCAGAGGAGGATTCAAAACACCACAATTTAAGAGGATTTTCACCGGGAGGGAAAAAAAAAAATCCTAATCAAACTTCTGTTCACCAAATGGTAACACTGTAACAACTGACCAAAGTACAGGGCATTTCAGAACACTTTTAGACTTTCTGGAAACACAACCCCACATATGTACCATTCCAAACTCTGCTTACATCATCAAGCATACAGAACATACAACGAGACAACACATTACAGGGATAAAGTTATATGGCCAGAGGACGTGTGAAAGCTGAAAAAGCAAAGAGCCAGGCTGTAATGAGTTTTTCCTTTACTCCTACAGAGGTTAAGGGAAAGTCACTGAGCTTCCCAATAGAGAAGTGTAGAAAGAACTCTTAGTGGCAATGAGACACTGGAGTTGGAAATAAAAAGAAGACTGGAAGACCCCAGAAGTGGTTAACAAGCAATTCTAGACCGGGAGAAATGAAAAATGTCCTCTGGGAAGGGAGTACGGATGAGACTCTGGAATCAAGCATAAAAGATCTAGAAACACACCTGGGGGCAGGGAAAGCTACTTTCCACAGCCTAGACTACTGGAATTAAATCTATGAAGCATTTAAACTGCTCAAAAGATCCAAAAGACAGCCAGGTGACATCACCAAGTCAAGTAACTTGTTGCTCTGGCAGCTAAAATTGCACAGTTCTTTGACACAAACATTTATGGTATTTACCTGGTAGTTTTTGAAATTAGCAAGGATGTGCTTGATTTGTTCTGCAGCCCCTGTCATAAAAGGCTTTACTCTTTCTGGCCTCTGTTCTTCAAGTTTGCCTTTGATGCTAAAACAGTATTTTATTAATAGGTTAAGTACTCAGTTCTCAGCAAAATGATCTTTTTTTTTTTCCCCCAGTAAAAAAAAATCCAAACTGAAACAAGCTCTGAAAAGGGCAACTAGCAGTCACTGGGCCAGATTAACATGCCACAATCAAGAAAGTAAGAGCTCACAGGATCCAAGTTTCAAGACTGTTTACAATTTTGGATTTCATATTATTCCCAAAGCACACTTCCAAAATACTAAAACCACACTTCACGCCACAGTATGTTCACATTAATTTATAGAAAACCAACTATCCTTGTGAGCTCACAACAGAAAAGATTAAGGCTTTTCACAAGTACACCTGCTAAGATTCCTGAATTCCATAGGACTCCAGGCAGTAGGTGGGCTGCGCCAGTAGCACTTACGATTTCATATAATCTTTGATGTACTTCTTGTAGGCTTCTTTTGTGAAGCTGGTTTCCTGCAAGTGATGGTTCATTACAATATCAACTCCAGTGATGACTGTGCTTTCGGTACCTTCGCCCTCCGGGCCTTCAGCGGAGGCATTTCCACCAATGAGCGAATCATCAATGTTACCCTCTGTCCTACTGACCATCTGCATTAAGAAATAAAAAATAGTTCGGTTTCACACGTTTTGACCTTAACTTAAGGAATCCCCCAAATCTGTTACCAGCAGTTCACATATCCATCATCCTCCCACCAAAAAACTTTTTGACTTTTGCCAAAAAGCACTAAAACATTGTCATGAAGAAAAAAACTGGAGCCGTCAGAAATTCCTGGTACCTCGTAAGTCAGTTAAGAATTCTTTGTTGACCAAAAAGAAAACGGGATCATTTACCCCAAGCAGAAGTTCTGTGTGGGCTTTTGGCCTGATGAACAAGTACGTGCAGAGCAAACGCAGAGAGGCTTGGGGCTCCCTAACCCGAGGCTACCTGTCCTGGGCGGCCCGGGAGGAGGATGGGCGCCAAGGCGGCGGACCTATTTCCAGGCTCAGCTCCGCCTCCACTTTTCTAGAAAAACCCGAGCCCGGAAAGAGCGTCTCCTCCGCCAGGAGGCAGCGGAGAGGATTGCACAACTTCGGGCGGGGGAGCGGCGGAAACCCGAGCCTGCCCGGCCTTGCCTCCCCCTCGCCGCGCGGCCCGACCAACTCACCTTCCCCTCCACCTCCAGGCACAGCCCGTCCGCGATCTCCCGGATCTTGTAGATGTCGGAGAACATCTCATCATCTGCTCGGGGACACAGACCTGCCCGTCACGGTGCGCCCGGAGGTCTGGAACCCGCGCCGCCATTTCCCGCGCGGGCCGGGAGCACGCGGCCCCCGCTCCTCCCCGGGCGCTCGAGACCCTGAGGCGCGCCCCAGGCACCGACCCCTCCCCGCTCCCGGAAGGGCCGCCAGCGTCCTCTAGGCCCACGACAGCGGCGGCGTCCTTCTTCCCCGCCCCCACCCGCGTCCCCTGCGCGCGGCAGTAGGGGTAGTGCAGTCACGACTCACGGCTGATGAGGTCCCGATAGATGATCATGACGACGGCTGAAGAGAGACGACGGCGGCACTACCTCAGCAAGAGCCAGGAGCTCTGAACGAGCGCGGTGCAGCCGGAGCGGCACTCGGGGGGAGGGGGGAGCGGGCGGAAAAGGCCGACTCAGCCGCTCCCCAACCTCATATAGAGGGCACGTCCCCCTACGTCATCGCCCGCTGCGCCTCCGGAAGCGCCGCAAGCGGTGACGTGGCACGCAGAGCCGCGGGAGGTGGAGCCACGGAGCGGGCCGGTGAGGGGAGGTGAGCATCCGGGGACTTGGCCCGGGGGGCACAATGCTGCGATCCGCGGTGCTCGCGGTGGGGTGGCAGCTGGGAGACGGAGAGGAAGGGGTTCGCTGGCACCCAGTGCGGAGAGTGGGGGAAGCGGGGCAGGCTCCCCGCCCCCTCCGCACCCTGCCGGGCTGCCCTGGGAGGTGCTGGGCCTGGGTGGGGCTTAGATGAAATCTCTTCAAGCTTCCGCTGTGCGCCTCGCCTCGCGCAGCTCCCACCCCTTTCTGGGAACAAAAATGTCAACTGCGGTAGAGGACTTCGCGTTTACGGAGGGTCGGGGCCTGGGAAGACGTCGAGGCTGTCCACAAGGATGAGGGTAGGGGACTGTGCTTTTGGCCTCGCTCTGGGTTTTCAGGAGGACTCGGAGAACTTGGAGCGTTTGGCCCAGGCGCTGCCGCAGCTGTAGTTTTCGGACGCGTTCGTGGGGCAGAGCCGAGTCCCGGGACGGTCGTCGCGCCGCCCTCTGGGACTAGTCGTGGGAGGCACAAGGTCTGTGGGGAGGAGGTAAGGTGTCCCTAGAGTTTGCACAGCTTTCCCATCTCCTAGTTGGGTTCCGTATAGAGCTTGGCGATTCCCCAGGCAAACATCCTAAGAACTTCTTTTTCTGTTTTGCACTTGAATTATGGCCTCTGTTTGACAAAAAAAAAAAAAAAAAAAATACATTGTCACTTTAAGATGACATTGAAATTATATCCTAAGTGCTAGAGAGTTAAACAACAATAGGGAGCTTCCTACCTGCTCAAATGTTATGTGGACTTCAGACCCAGTTACTGGGTCCAAAACAAACACTCAAGGAAACAGTTTCCCTTTTTGTGTGAAACCGGAGAGCTTATTACATTCTGCGAATATTTTTATGCGCTGCGGGGTCCCTAGCACCGGGTTTTGCACGGATCTCCCAATCGTAAACAAGTTAAAAGCAGCCCTATCCTCACAAAGTTTTGTTCTAGGAAATCAAAGAATCAGGCAATTATAATACATCCAGCATTCCCCCCTCTAAATCCAATAATGAAGCATTCTGCACAGTAAGAGCAACTCACGAAAGAGGAGAGCACAAAACTGCATTGAGATGATGGAGAAGTCAAAATGGAAAAGAGCCAGGGAATAGTACCCTCCCAAAAAGATGTGGTCGGGGGCTGCACTGTACACCCCAGAGGACCCCACCCCACCCCGTAACTGGGAGGAAGCTAAAAAATGGCATGAAGGGAATTTGAAAACAAATGGACATCTTCTGACAGAATGTCTGTGAAGGATCTCTCACACCTCTTGGTTATTTCTGGAATATATGAGTGGGACAGGTTATCCCAGGCAGATCTTCAATTCTTTTCCTTAGCTTTAACATTTTCAAATTTTTTAGAAAGGTTTCCATTTACTGATACCATATCCCTAAACAGCTCCCTCCACTCTTCTCCAGTTTTATGTTCAATTAAAAACATTTATTTTCAAGGGTGCCTGGGTACCTGGGTGGCTCAGTGGGTTAAGTCTCTGCCTTCGGCTCTGGTCATGATTTCGGGGTCTCGGGGTCCTGGGAATGAGCCCTGCATCCGGCTCTCTGCTCAGCGGGGATCCTGCTTCCCCTTCTCTCTCTGCCTGCCGCTCTGCCTATTTGAGATCTCTGTCTGTCAAATAAATAAAAACTAAAAAAAAAAAAAAAAACATTTTTCAGGTTTTATAAAAGCTACAGTGAAAAAAACGAGTACTGAAGTTAGAGTCAAAGGAGCTTGGGTTGAAATCTTGGCTTTCTCTGTTACTGGTCCTGCAACCTTGGGAAAGGCAGCCTCCCTAAGCCCAAGCATAACATGGAACTTCTGTGAGTTAAAAGGTTTAGGGGTTATTAAATAAGACAATGAAAAAAATGCTTGGTGTCCTCAGTAGGTTGTTAATAAATACTGGTTGAATTTGGATGCGTAATTCTTTCCAAATCTTACTACTTTTTTCCCCAAATTTTATTAATTTACAAAAATTCCTGAAACTATTTCATTGATCCTCTAATTATGTTATTTGGAAATATTTAGGGATTTAGTGGATATGTGTTGTATTAAAGACATTCTGTTTAATCACAACACTAATTGTTCATTGAAAATATTTAACTTGCCATAAGATTCTGATCTTGGGTTTCTTTGATAGCTCACAGTAATTCAGAAACTAGAAATCCTAAAAAAAAAAACTAAGGAAAAGCTGATTTGAGCTTAAGGATATTTTGTAAGCTCCACCTGTCATCTAAAAAATTTGTGTGGGGGTTGGGAGGACGGGCCTGGGTGGCTCAGTTGGTTAAGTGTCTGCCTTTGGCACAGGTCATGATCCCAGGGTGCTGAAATCCTGGGCTCCCTGCTCAGCAGGGATTCTGCTTCCCACCCCACCAACCCCCCCTACTGTTTCTCCCTGCTTTTGCTTTTTGTCTCTCTCAAATAGATGAATAAAATCTTAAAGAAATTTTAAAATAAAATTGTGCCAGGGCAATCCTGTTGGGACCCATCTCACTCTTGAGAGCTTTTTCTGTATCTTCACTTAATAAACTTCTATCATTTACTCGCTCAAAAAATTAATTAAATACACAAATAAATATTTTTTTAAAAAGTATGTGCTGTATCTTAATACCTACTTAGAACACCAGCAATGCAAATAGGGAAAATTACTGCCTAATTGCAAGCCACTGAAATTGGAAGGACTTAGGCTTTACCTAGCCAATTTGTTTTTATTTTGGCATCACTTGAATTTTTTTTTTAAGTAGGCTCGACACCCAGGGAGGAACCCAACACAGGACTTGAACTCATAACCTTGAGATGAAGACAACTGAGATCAAAAGTCAGATGCTTAACTGAGTCACCGAGGCACCCCTGAAATTTTTTTTTTTTTTTAAGATTTTATTTATTTGACAGACAGAAATCACAAGTAGGCAGAGAGGCAGGCAGAGAGAGAGAGGAGGAAGCAGGCTCCCTGCCGAGCAGAGAGCCCAATGCGGGGCTCGATCCCAGGAGAGCCCGATGCGGGGCTCGATCCCAGGACTCTGGGATCATGATCTGAGCTGAAGGCAGAGGCTTTAACCCACTGAGCCACCCAGGCGCCCCACCCCTGAAATTTTTATAACATTTTATTTCTTTAAATGATTTTATTCTGTGATTTCTAACAAAATCTAAGATTGTCCTAAATTTCACAGCGGAATATTACTTGGTATCTCTTGCAATTAAAGAGGTCTCAAAAACGATGTCTTCCGGCCTCTGCACACAAGTTCTCACAGGAGCAAAGCACCTCTGAAGATTCCCCCTTTTATCACTTTGGGATTGACTACAATAGCTTAAACACATACAGTTTCTTTTGTTCTCTCATATAAATGAAATTCAGGGATATGCAGTCCACATTCATGGTAGCTTCATGGACATCAGGGACCTAGGATTTTCCTTTCTTCACCACTTACATGGTCTGCAATAGAGGCTGGAACTCTAACCATCACATCCAACTCGCAGGCTGCAAGAAAAGGGGAAGGACAAAAGAGGAACGTTCCAGCAATTCTAGAAGTCCTAAAAGAGGACTTGGTCCACTTCCTTTGACCTCAGTCTTTTCTAGTTGGGTTCTCCTTCCCAGCTTGTCTCCGCTCAGGCAGAAGAGCCTGAAGGCAAAGCATCCCCAGAGAGCAATAAAAACTACCCCCTCAAGCAATAAGGACTGCCCTGAGCCAGCAAGACACCACCCTTGACTTACTCCAACACAGTAAAAGATTTGACCTTCACTGCCCACGTGCCCTTACCCACCCACCTTTGCCCCACATTTTGCTTATATATACCTGGAAGTATGTGCAGAACTTTGGAGACCTTCTCTGAGACCATAGTCTTCTGTCTTCCCGGTACCAGCCTCACTGAAATTCCTTGTCTCATCACCACACGTCTCTCTGCCTTTGGATTTTGTCTGTGGTGAATGGCAGAACCTGGACTCTTTGGAACCCCCAGAACCAGGTGCTCTTCGGGTGCCCCAGAACCAGAACCTCTGGCTACAATCCCACTGAACAATTATGGATGGATCTAGTTACAGTAAAGGCCACAAAATAGTCTTCCAGGTTATGGTTCATTGCCACCCTAAGTAAAATCAGGATTTTCTTTAGGAAGAATACAGGCAGCTAGAAGTCCTTGCTGTACTCATAGTGCAAAGGGTCTGGTTCTCAGCTTAGACATTTTTTACTTTGACTCACTGGGGGTCAGGTTCAGGGAAACTGATTAGTATTTTCCAAACTCATATGAGACTGATTTGCAAAACAAGAATACCATTAATGCAGAATGAGGAATTCCTAGTTGCTTACATATAGTGTAGACAGGTTGCAGAAAATGTAGTTTACTTAAGAGGGAATTGGGCCGGGCGGTTAGAATGAGGTTTATGATGGTGACAGTGGTGACAGAAGGTGATTTAGGAATGAACCAGTCCAGCTGGATATTCCTGGTGTGTGGTCTGAATCCCTTCATTCTGAGGTCTGTTAGTGAATTCTCTTGCTCCTTTTACCCAGACTTTTCACACACTGCTAACAATTACTATAGTCAAGTTACAGGGCAAATTCTTCCTTTAGAGCAGAGCTGTTCAAAAGAGCTTACTTTGATCATGGTAATGTTCTGTATCTGCTCTAATACCATAGCCACTAGGCCACAAGTGGCTATGGCGACCTTAAATGTGGCTAGTATGGCAATGGAACTGAGTATATACTTCTATTTCACTTTAATTCATTTAAATTTGACTATTCATGGCCTCAGAGCCCTATAATGTAAACTCTATGAGTGGGGGACTTTGTTAACTGCTGTACCTCAGGAGTCAGAACAGGGCCGGACTCAGTAATTGTTGATAAATGAATGGATGAAAAAAGTTCTCATTTCTCTTTATTAAATTAAGCCAAATCCCATCTCAGTTAATAGAATTCAGCATATATTCAAGACCTGGT